AGAAGAGCAAGTGAAGAAAATACTGAGAAGTCTTCCTAGGAGCTGGGAAGCAAAGAAGACCACTATTGAAGAAGCTCATGATCTAAAAGTCTATAAATTTGATGAGCTGATTGGATCCCTGCTGACTCACGAAATTTCAGTAAGAAATTTCGAAGAAAAGGAGAAACAAGGAAGGTCTGAGGACAAGAGGCAGAAGGCCATTGTACTGAAACCTGATTCATCTGAAGATGAAGACTCAGACATAGATGAGATGGCTATGCTAGCCAGAAAGCTGAAGAAAATGTTCAAGAAAGGTGGAAGATTCCACAAGAAGAAGATTTAGGACTTCAGCAAGAGAAAGGAGCAGAAGAAGGATGCAGAGGCTTCCATTACCTGCTTTGAGTGTCACCAGCCAGGCCACATCAAAGCCAACTGTCCCAAACTAAAAAAGGACAGGAAGTTCAAAAAGAAGGCCATGGTGGCAACGTGGAGTGATTCAGAGGACTCCTCATCATCTGAAGATGAAGAGTGTACTGAGACAACCAACATTTGCTTCATGGCTGTGGATGCTGAGCCTGATGAGGAAGCTAACTCAAAATCCTCAGATGAGTCTGAAGACGAGGCTGAGAGCAGAGCCACTGAACCTCAGGTACAATCTATCTTCATGGCTCCCTTTGAAATTCATACTGCACTTTTTGCTTTATATCAGTATGCAAAGAAGTCAGCAGCAAAGCTGAAAGGGCTACAGAGGAGAATTTTAGAACTCGAGGAAGATAAAAGCTTCCATGAGGATACAGTCAAGGATCTCCTGACTATAGTTCCTGGTCATGAGGATAAACTAAAGTCACAAGAAGAGGAGATAAAGACCATCACTCAGGAATGCTTAAACCTGAGGGAATAGATTGAGGAATTTCAGAGATATCAATCTCAGAAGGAGTCTCAGAGGCAACCTCAAAGACAACATCAGCCTCAGCATGTCCGAAAACCAACACAAAGAAAACCTCAACCTCAATACAACCAGAGGCGTGCTCAAAAGCAACAGCATACTGAGAGGAAGAATCAGTATGTACATTATCAAAGACAGCCTCAGTATGGTCAAAGTCAGCACTTGAGAAGTCAACGACAAAGTCCATACTCCCATACTGAGAGACTAGCTCAGTATCAACTGAGGAATCTAGGCGCTCAGAGAGGAAGAAACTTTTACAGAT